GTGTGTGAATTAATAACACGATGAATAAACTTGAGAATATCAAATGTCTGCCTTAAAATTAAACACACAATTATTAAGATTCCACGATTTAATACTATTTAATCTAATATGAGTGAACATTACTTTTTTAGATGTATAAACTTGTTTTGTAAAACAAGTCAAATAAAAACACGTAAAGCTTTTAATCTGTATATTTACCTAGAGTTAAGCTTTTCCTCAGGGTGAACCTTCCACAAGTCCATTTCTGCGTTGTTTAGAAATATTAAGTGGTTTAATTCTTATACAAATAATACATTTCAAATTATACATTTTAACTAACATATAATTCACTATTATATAATGTACTAGCTACTACAACCCATCACTTGATTTTTCAGAAGTACTTTAGATTCTCCTTAGTTCAGAGAAATATCGTAGTCCAGTTCCAAGCAAGACAACATTTATGTCCAGACGTGATAACAATTACTTCCAAAAATAGTTTTCCCATTCATTAAACAAATTACCCACAACTCATGTCTACGCAAAGACTCTGCCTATGTAGACAATTTCCATATAAGTTGATAAGGTTTTTTTTTCTTAGTGCCATTTAGTTACAATATTATTTTGTATGTTATTTTTAAGTCAATTATTGTGTAATTTATTTTTTAAAATACCACGAACTGTATTTTTCAGTTGGGAAATAAACATTATTTCATTTTTATTTCATTTCATTTTTTAGCTATTGCCCATCGACCTCACACGACATACTTTTGGGATTTTTACTACTATTATGAACCCGTTAAAGTTGTGACTTCGCTAGGTGCTAAAACTACGTGATGTTCATTTTCCGTACTGTAACAGTTATTAAGGATTAAACCCATATCTATGCATCCTAATCAAATAAGGTTGGTAACCTAACCTAACCTAACCTAACCTAACCTAACCTAACCTAACCTAAACTAACCTAGCCTAAAGGTTGGTAACCTAACCTAACCTAACCTAACCTAACCTAACCTAACCTAACCTAACCTAACCTAACCTAAACTAACCTAGCCTAGCCTAGCCTAACCTAACCTAACCTAACCTAACCTATAAACATCCGGGACTACTGAAGTCAAACTAGGGAAATATTCTTCATTTGAACAATTACTTCTATCAAATACTCTCACTAAATCAACCTACGTAATAGTTTTACCAAAAATACTATTCCTGGTTTATCAGCGTTCACCTATGGAGCTTAACTATATCAAAATTGTATAACCCCAAATAATCATTTGCTATACCCAAATAATTAAGTGCAAATTTGTAATAAAAGTTTTCCATTGAGCCATTATTGGATTTAACTTATTTTCTTTCTTAATAATTGATAATATTTTTGAAAAAATTTCCAAAACTGCTGTTATCAATAATTAAAAAGACGTGATCTGAAAATACGTTGGTCCTTACGATGATATTAATAGTTATTTTCTCAAAAAAAAAATCTATTCTAAATCATAGCTCTTGAACTGAAATAAATATGATTTATAAAGGCTTACTTTAGTCATTTTTTAAGATGGATATGAATGAGCTGTAAGTATATTTAATAAAGCTATGAATTTGATAAGGCTATAAGTATATTTAGTACAGCTCTATAAATACAGTACCCAGTTTACCTTATAAGCTGTCGAAGAAAATCCAATGAATACGCAGATTTAAACATACCCCCTACATAGGCCTACCGATTTATATACATGGTCTCCATTTACTTTAAATAATTTTGACAAACGTGAGGTTTTTGTCGAAAAGTGATCGGAAATTCTTCTAGAGGAGATTTTAAGGAACCTGCTGATGTGCACTGAGGATATGGATTGCATCTGTTCTTAGATCAATGTCCTTCCTGGCATATTGCACGAGGGGAGAGTCGCTTAGGGCTTTGGTAATGTGAAAGATGAGCTCTACATTTCTCCCTTCTTTTTGGGTATTGACTATAGTAAACCTTTAATAATAAATTTTATTGTACACGTAAATAATAAAAAAACACTAAGCAATTTAAATTTCAATTGCTGAAAATATTCTTCATTGATTTTAACTTTACATAAAAATCCTTATTTGAAAACTATTTTTTTATTTAATAAATTATCTTCTTCATTAATTCTCTTCTACATTAATTCTCTTTTTCTCCTTAAAAAAAACATGACAATTTTAACCGTACTGTTTATTATTCTTTCTACCGTCATTTTTAACAACAATGATTTAATGTAGAAAAAAAGTTTTTCTTTAACCTCAACACGATGAACAAAATGCTAATTTGGTATTAGCATGTTAATGGTAAAACCCCATAACACCCCATTTTCATGACCTGATCAACTGGTTTGTGAAATCAATACAGCATGTATAGTAGATTCTGTAATAACCACATTCAATTTCTGCAAAGATTCAGCTAAGACTATTCTTTCCTAATCAACTAGGAAATACAAATATTGTTCAATATGATATTGTAGAGTGTTGCTGATTATCAATACACTTAAATTACCCGAGATAAAATTATATTTACACACATAAAAACATTTACAACGTTTAATATCGTTATGTATTATAATATTATAAAATACGGTTTTATCTATTAAAATGAACTACCATTATTGTTTTCTACATAATGTAATTTAAGAAATCAGGCAAAGTCTGAAAGACAAGAAGAACATTATGTAGTATTAGAAACATTTAAATAAGAAGATATTACAGAATACAAGACGACTTATCATGTTGCAAGTAAAATGCTTGTCAGTTTCTCATAGAGCTGTCACAAAATAGCTGAGGTTGAATGTGTCAACTGCAAAGCCAGCTGTAATGATCTTGTCAATATCAAGTATCAAGGTATTCAACTTATTGAGTGACAGTCAGAAGAATTGCTACCACTCTTGTAAAATACACCTAAATCAAATGCTTTCGAAGTAAATTGTTTTGGGTGTTAATAGAACTTTAATCGTTTGTTTAATACAACATACAGAAAAGGCAGTAGCTTTTCATGGTTTGAAAGTAAAACCATGTAAAAGTAAAACCTGTTCTAAAGCTGGCCTTAGTCCAACGGCTCTGGTAAAAAAAGTGTTATCTTAGTCAGTAACAATATTGCACATAACTCACTTTACACCCAGCCCAAACTTAATGGTAGTTTTCGTTACTAGTCCCTAAAGTAGGCTTTTTTGGACGAGTTACGAACAATATTTTTCATTACATTGACATATATTATAGAAGAAAATACAAAACAATTGTTTGTGATTGTTGAAGCATTTTAAAGGATCAGAACAGTTGATTTGTTTTTGAGATAAGTTTTGACATAACCATATGATTCAAGTCCGTACTGTTTTACGGACTAGTCCGTAAAAATATAAGGACTCAAAACGATCAGCAAGACAGCTGTTTTTGAGACAGTGTTATGAAAATTACACTGTTTTTGAGATAAGGTTACGTCAAAGCTTATCGGAAAAAACAAATAATCAGCTCTTCTGATCCTTTAAAATGCTTCAATAATATATAAACAAACTTTGTTTGTTTCATACATAACCTAATTCATTCAGTGTTACTGTGTTTTGGAGTAGTGACAGCATTTTCTGCTATAATATATGACAATGTAATAAAAAATATTGTTCGTAACTCGTCCTAAAATGTTTTTTGCGACTAAATCGAATCACCTCGTCCGTTAAACACGATATCGTCCCCCCAAAAAAAACTAATTTAGGGACTAGTAACGAAAACTACTATTGTATGTTTATTACATTTTTATATTCAAGGGCAATTACAAGTATGGATGAAATTTTTATAGTATAACATCGATCAGATTGCAATATAAAAAACAACTTTCAGCTAAACATTTTATCAAAATATCTGCAACCTATAAAAAATGTATAAAAAACTAATATCTTATATATCAATCGTTATAAAAATAATATAAATCAATGTTACAGCTTTAAGTTGTAAATATAAAATGTACGACACTGAATCATATGTTTGAAGCAATTGAAACGATTTAATACCTCTTTAGTTGTTGTGAAACAATGCAATGTTTGTAACACGTATTGGACTGCAGCTGAGATGTAAAGTAAAAGCCATCTCATTATGCTAACAGCTGTAATATAACTGTAAACGCACGCTGTAGAGGACATTAGCACATGTGTTGGACATGAAATGTGGATAGAGGGACGTAAAAAGCCTACTACCAACATTATAGGTTTCTACCCATGATATTAAAAAAAATATGTGGCTTATATATGTAACTTTATGCTTTTATTCAGCGTTTGTACTCATTAGACTAAAAATAATAATAATAGGACGTACTCATGACCGAATGCAACATAATTGTGGTTCTGTTATTACCCGAAACGAAACACCCTCTTGTAGTTATACTTTGTCCATGGTGATCATGAATCACCCTCATTAATCCAGTTAGTGACATACAACCGTTGGTAGAGAATAATCCAGCACCAACATACGCCCGTATAATCCCCGGCGGATACGCACGAAGTTGTAGCAGTGATTCACACGTCTGGCGAAATAATAGCTTTACAGCTTCGCGGAAAATTATAGACGTAAAAGTATCTGATTTACAAAGCAAAAAATGGATTGGGTTCAAAGAAACTACGAATATTAAATAATAAATACGTCACCCAAAGAAACAGTGGGTAAACCTACAGTAACTGATAAGTACTCAGCAGAAAAGCCAACTGTAATATTACTCAAAACAAAACAAAGAACACAAAGCTCAGTAAAAATCAAAAAGGTAGAGTAGACTGGAACAGTATAAATAGTTGTATTAGAAACTAAAACCCCAATTTTGAAAAACCCCTAAGATTGCCTTGTTTGGTCTCAAAGCCAAATGCTTTGGGTGTTATTTTTTTTATTTTTTACTTTTAAATTATTTTTAGGATATTTAATGGAAACCCATGTAAAATATTATATGTTGATAATTGTGTTTGTAAAATTGATAGAGGTTAGTAACAAATGCATGTAATCATAGTATAAAACACGTAAAGGAAAAAATATCTTAGTTACCTATAACCAATTTGTTTATTCCTATAGTTTATAATAGTATTATTTTATAATGACAATTTTTTTGTTAAAGAAGATACAGATATTTTTGAAATTATAACTAGTATGGTACTTGGCACCGGGGAACTGGCATATTAATTAGGTGTAACTTGTCGTGAAGATCGAAAAATACGTCTGCAAGGCATTTAGAAATCATCTGAAAAAGAATAATTCAAGTATAGATGTTTGTAAATTGTTTTAGACACATTGTTCCGTTAATAGACCCTACAATGTTAATAGGAAATAAAATACAAAAATATAAAATAAAATACATGTATTTTACACGAGGTTTTTAGATATTTTTTATATAGCGGTTGACAATTGAGTACAATAACTCTAGGTTAACCCAAATTATTGTTTGTGGATCTGTTTTGAATTAAAACTGGTTTTCTTTGTATTAAAATTACTTTTTCAGAAATTGATCGTAAAAAAATATAGGTTCACTGATACCGCTTGAACTAAGGAACTTTGATATCATTGTATCCAACTTGGAAATTTGTACAACATTGACTGAGTCATAGAATAATAAAACTGAAAATTAGCGAACCATAATAATTTCCCCAACTATTATTATCTCAATAAGGTAAAACTGACGGATACAAACCACTTAATAGAAGGTGAACACATAACTGAGCTACCATTAGTATTAAAAAAAAAACTATTAGATGTTGATAAAACATTAAATGGAGAGCTTGGACTAAATTGTTTTCGTATGCCATCAATATGATATTAAATATGAATATGAATTAAACTTTTTTTTATGACATTTTCCAATATGGCATCTAACTTTAAGTTATTATAGAAACACTCGTAATTTATGATGGTTTTAAAACGCATATGCAATTTAAAAACTTGAATCAGTAAAATTTATATTCTTTTTATGTCATAAGAAAATAATTTCTCCATTTAATGGTTTCACAAAATAAAGATTGTTTCTGAAATATAACTGCTGGATCAGTTAAGTTCTTAACCCTGTACAATATAACTTCTTTGGTCAGGCTAAAGTGTATAGTTTGTTTCATGCAATTAGTATGCATTTGTGTTTGAATCCCTACACACTAGGTATATAAGTCCTTGATTAATTCAGTTACATTTATTTGCTTACCTTGCCATTTGAAATGAGATTGTAATCCAAATAAACAATATGGAGATGTTGTTGATGCCGGAGGGCAACAATCTTAAACATAAGGAACAGAAATTTTGGATTACTTGAAACAAATATTTTTACAGAGTGTAAGCTATTCCATAGAAATAATATAATATGGGTTAGTTAAACTGAATGAAGAAACTAGTAGGTTTTGGAAAGTAGCAAAAACTTGGCATATACAAATTGTATTCAAAAATAATATGCCTAAATAAAAAATAAATAATAATAATTAATGTGGAAATAATACTAATAATAAATGGCATAAAAATAATATGAACTAAGCTATTTATATTTTACTAAAAAAACACTTCATTACACTGCAAGTAATGAAAAATGAAATCTTATCATTAGGGTCATTTTTTATGGATAATTCATGTTTTACATAGCAATAAACCTAGGTACTTGTTACACGTAATGTTATTCAAATAGATTTAACTGAAAATCTAATCGGGCAAACGGAAATTTGCTTAGTCTGCAGGTTTGCTGCGTCGGGGGGTATTATTTCTGATAGTTCTGATTAAACAATAACAAAGAAACGCTTTCTGATTTCTTCGACATCAGAAAACATAACAAAAACCATAAAACTATTTGTATTATCTAGGTTACGTACCTTATACAGTCAAACAGATCTGAATCCAGTCACTAAAGGACGATGCGCAATTCAAAGCTTTAAAGCCCTATCTTCAGGTCCGTGGATACATTTATTAATTCATCTTGCAGATTCATCAACATTTTTTTTGAGTCGGGATCTATAGCCGGCCGGCACATGTACCGTAATGAATTATGTGTTAGTGTTATGTGTTTTTAATGTTTAAAATTTTTGCCGAATCTGCAAGATGAATAAATGTATCCACGGACCTGAAGATAGGGCTTTAAAGCTCTGAAATGCGCATCGTCCTTTAATGACTGGATTTAGAACTGTTTGACTGTATAAGGAACGTAACCTAGTAATACTTTGAATAACAATTCAGGAGGAAAAATAATGCATAAAACTATTTGCTTGATGTATATCTGATTTTATAACTTCCAAGGATCATAAAAAATAGTTTTAAAATATTTACCTGTCTCAACGCTTTTTTTACGAGTATCTCAACGTTCTCTTGATGAAAATCTCTGTTGTGCAGTTTTACGAGAAATTCTTTTGCCTGAATAACTTCAGGATCGTGTAAATCAACAGGTAAAAGTCCTCTAGGTAGTCCTGTTTCCGTCGCTGCTTTGGACACTGCCTAAAGTAATAAAAAAAAATATCTATAACTATATCTCTACAATGTGACTTTTGTGTATTAACCATAAGTGACAGTGATTGGCCATTAGAAAGATGGCAATTATAATTACGTTTTTATGTGTTTGAGAAAAGAAACATAAAGTTATACATAAACACAGCCAAGTTATACTTAAATGCAGCCAATTTGGTAGAAAAATTAAACAAAACAACAATTATTTACAAAAGAAGTTTACCCCAAATGTGATCACAAAAAGGACAATCAATTGAGCCTCCATCTGTAAGGGTTATCGAACTGGTCGTTGAACACCTGAAAAAAATATACGAGTTAAGTTTTAATCACTTATGGAGAGTTGAGTGAGAACCAAACGGAAACATCAACACGGGGGCTTTCTGTAATTTCTGCTGCTGGGTTTGAAGCTTGTGAGAAGTCTTACAATTGTTGTCATCTTTCTCCTCGTGACAACTTAATCTACATAAAATATATTCAATTAGCACTGCCGAGTAAAATATATACTAAACTACTAAGGAAATAGGTTTTGCAATTCTAGTTTTGAGGGATTTGTATTAGAAAGAACACCACCATACTTACCTAGAACTGCATCTGGGGTGAATGTAGAAAATTGACTTGTTTTATACCCAGGCTCTCATTTTACTGCTGATTAACAGCCATAAATGAAATAAACCGTTGATAATTTAAGATTGTACACATCAAGATATTTCCATAATCAAATTTATCAATTAAAGAGCAAGTGTAATTGCAAGTGTTTAAGTATGTCATTGTTCTTAATATCGCTTGAAATGTTTTTATAGGTTTTGTATTTGCCTTAATTTGTATTTTTTAATGTTTTGAGATAAGATCCTGTAGTGACGAGTTAATGTAACACAAAAAAAGAAATCAAACGAAACTTTCAATTGAAAAACACTGCTCCTCCATCACTAGGAAATTTCCCTACTCATTGAGACTACTGTAACACTCTGTATTGCAACAGTCAAGCCATTAACTCATTGTTTTGTTGTACAAGGAACGTAATCTCGTCCATGTAACCCTGCTTTGCCGAACTGTCCACAAGATACACGGCACAATCTTACTTGTCGAAGACAAACTGAGATGTATTGTAGCGATTTGTTTCTACACCACGTCCAGTTGTCTTGTTTCCTAGATGTTGCTTTAATTCCATAGACGATATACTACGTCATTACTGCAAAACGCCTTAGCGTTTTTTTTTTTAATAATTGAGCTTAGGTTTATACAAAAGTATGATAAGGTTAATGTTATGTATTTTTCTCTGTTTGCAACACCAGGTACTTTTCTGTAAGTAAGTAAATTCGATTCAGGATTTTTTTTTTGTAAAAACACCTCGCCAACACTCCAACAGAAGTTATCGTGCTCGCAAGTCAATTCACAGGTTGACAAACCTTTGATGGTTCAAAAATAGAACAAGCTGCCTTGATCATAAAGGTTTTAATTTTTGGTTCTGGCTGATAAATTGCTGGTCTTAGCCAGTATACAACCTGCAAAAAGCATCTCAATCCCTTCTATAAATTGATTGTTTACTTATACAGGGTGTTTTTTTAAAAACTTGCATCTTTATTTATGTAAAAACCGCAATAGATAGAAATATGCAATTTTCGGGAATCATCTATTGACGTAGGGGGCCCAATTGTTTTGAATTCTACATTACATTCACATTCCCCCCCTTTCCCCCCCTGCCCCCAACTTAATTTTTTTAAATAGCAAGGTACCCCTTGTGACATATCAAATGAAAGAGCATGAAAAAAGAAAATGTTTGATGAAATTTATTTTTCATTTGATATGTCACAAGGGCGGGTACCTTGCTATTAAAAAACAAGTTATGGGTAGGGGAAAAGGGGGGGGGGTTATCTCACAAATTCATGAGCCGATTTTAATTTTGTTTTCACCAAAAATTTTCTTTTTTCATGCTCTTTCATTTGATATGTTACAAGGGGTACCTTGCTATTAAAAAAAAATTAAGTTCTGGGGAGGGGGAGGGGGAAATATCTCGCAAATTTGTGAACCAATTTTCAATTTTTTTTCATCAAACATTCTCATTTTTCATGCTCTTTCATTTGATATGTCACAAGGGGTACCTTGCTATTTAAAAAAAAATTAAGTTGGGGGCAGGGGGGGAAAGGGGGGGAATGTGAATGTAACGTAGAATTCAAAACAATTGGGCCCCCTACGTCAATAGATGATTCCCGCAAACTGCATATTTCTATCTATTGCGGTTTTTACATAAATAAAGATGCAAGTTTTTAAAAAAACACCCTGTATATATTTTTTAAAGATTCTAATCCACGGTTTCATATTAAACATGTATTTAGTTTTCATCCGCAGTACTATAAAGTTAAATACACTATCAGAAAGAGAAACAACATTTAACTGTCGAAAACAACAAACTAATGTTTTAAATGAAATTCAATTTATGCTATAACAGAACATTTTTGATTCCATTTAAGTTCAGCGTTAGAGTTTTTAAACCGCTACAAAATGGAAAGATATGGTTATTTTTCATGTGAATTGACTTGAAACTAATTTACGTTAATGTAAACAGGGAACATTAGTGTCGAGTAATACAATATGACAGCTCATACATAATAAAAACGGTAAAAAAGCCATATTCATTTTAAAATGGTATCTCTAAAATGTTTGGTATTTCAAGTTTTATATCGAATCATACACCTAGAAATTGTGGTAAAGTTTCTTAATTGATATTTATTAACCAAAATAAATATAATCTTTCACAAATATTAAGATGAAAACTATTTGAAGTTAAAGTTCTTGTTCCTATATTAATTATAATAATGGTTTAAGTAAGTATTGATTAAAATTTAACCTCAATACGTAGTATGTTCAGCAAAGTCTAATGTGTCTTTAATGTCTATTAAGGTCTTTGAAACGTTGGCACGTCTTGGCTGATTGATGAAGGTAATTTACTGATAACATGTGACGGGGAGTGATTAAATAGATTACTACAGCGGTGATACATTCAGCTTTAAGCTTTGATGTCAAAATACTTTTAAATAATTAAATAACGTCCAATTTTTATTTTATAATTTGTTTTGCATGTCATTATTTTTTTTATGCTTTTAAATTATTTTTGGGATATTTAATAGAAACCCATGTATAATATTATATGTTGATAATCTTGTTTGTAAAATTAATAGAGGAGAGTAACAAATGCATGCAATCATAGTATATAACACGTAAAGGAAAAATTATCTTAGTTACATGACACATTTGTTTATTCTTATAGTTTATAATAGTATTATTTTATAATGACCATTTTTTTGGTAATAGACGATACAGATATTTTTGAAATTATAACTAGTATGGTACTTGGCACCGGGGAACTGGCATATGAATTAGCTCCATTTTGTCGTGAAGATCGGAAAATACGTCTGCATGGCATTTAGCAATCATCTGAAAAAGAATAATTCAAGTAAGATTGTAAATTGTTTTAGACACATTGTTCCGCTAATAGACCCTACAATAATAATAGGAAATAAAATACAAAAATATAAAACAAAATACATGTATTTTACACGAGGATTTTAGATTTTTTTTTATCTAGCGGTTGACAAACTATTGTATGTGGATCTGTTTTGAATTAAAACAGTTTTTCTTTGTATCAAAATTACTTTTTCAGAGATTTATCGTAAAAAAACTATAGGTTCACTGATATCGCTTGAACTAACGAACTTTGATATCACTTGGAAATTCGTACAACATTAATTGAGTCATAGAATATTGAATCTGAAAATTAGCGAACCATAATTTCGCCAACTATTATGATCTCATTAAGGTAAAACTGGCAGAATGAAACCACAAGGAACACATAACTGAGCTACCAATGGTATTTTAAAAAACTATTAGATGTTGATAAAACATTAAATGGAGAGCTTAGACTAAATTATTTTCGTATGCCATCAATGAATATGAATTTAACCTTTTCAAAAATGGATGATATTTTCCAATATGGCATCTAACTTTAAGTTATTATAGAAACACTCGTACTTTATGATGGTTTTAGAACGCAGATGCAATTTAAAAACTTGGATCTGTAGAATTTAAACTTTTTTATGTCATAAGAAAATAATTTAATAAGTTTCTCATTTAATGTTTTCACAAAATAAAAGATTGTTTCTGAAATATAACTGCTGGAACAGATAAGTTCTTCCAGCCGTACAATATAACTTCTTTGGTCAGGCCAAAGTGTATTGTTTGTTTCATGCAATTAGTATGCATTTGTGTTTGAATCCCTACACACTAGGTATATAAGTCCTTGATTAATTCAGTTACATTTATTTGCTTACCTTGCCATTTGAAATGAGATTGTAATCCAAGTAAACAACATTTCCGGCAACAATCTTAAACATAAGAAGCAGAAATTATGGATTACTTGAAACAAATATTTTTACAGAGTGTAAGCTATTCAATAGAAATAATATAATATGGGTTAGTTAAACTGAATGACGAAAATAGTAGGTTGTGGAAAGTAGTAAAAGCTTGGCATATACAAATTGTATTCTATATATGGGCAAAAATAATATGCCTAAATAATAAATAAATAATAATAATTAATGTGGAAATAATATTAATAATAAATGGTATAAAAATAATATGAACTAAGCTATTTATATTTTCTAAAAAACACTTCATTACACTGCAAGTAATCTTATCATTAGGGTCATGTTTTTTATGGATAATGCTTGTTTTACATAGCAGTAAATCTAGGTACTTGTTACACGTAATGTTATTCAAATAGATTTAACTGAAAATCTAATCGGGCAAACGGAAATTTGCTTAGTCTGCAGGTTTGCAGTGGCGGGGGTATTTTTTCTGATAGTTCTGATTAAACAATAACAAAGAAACACTTTCTGATTTCTTCAAAATTAGAAAACACAACAAAAAGCCATAAAACTATTTGCTTATTGTAAATCTGATTTTATAACTTCCAAGGATCATATAAATAGTTTTAAAATATTTACCTGTCTCATTGCTTTTTTTACGAGTATCTCAACGTTCTCTAGATGATCATCTCTGTTGTGCAGTTTTACAAGAAATTCTTTTGCCTGAATAACTTTAGGATCGTCTAAACCAACAGGAAAAAGTCCTCCACCATTCGACCTCTCCGTCTCCGTCGCTGCTTCGGACACTGCCTAAAGTAATAAATAAAAATATCTATAACCATATCTCTACAATGTGATTTTGTGTATTAATTATAAGTGACAGTGATTGACCATTAGGAAGGGTGCCATTATAATTACGCTTTTATGTGTTTGAGGAAAGAAATATAAAGTTATACATAAACATAGCCAAGTTATACTTAAATGCAGCCAATTTGGTAGAAAAGTTAAACAAAACAACAATATTTTACAAAAGAAGTTTACCCCAAATGTGATCACAAAAATGACAATCAATTGAGCCTCCATATGTAAGGGTTATCGAACTGGTCGTTGAACACCTGAAAAAAATATACGAGTTTTAATCACTTATGGAGAGTTGAGTGAGAACCAAACGGAAACATCAACACAGGGGCATTCTGTAATGACTGCTGCTGGGTTTGAAGCTTGTGAGAAGTCGTACTATTGTTGTCATCTTCCTCCACGTGATAACTAAATCTACATAAAATATATTCAATTAGCACTGCCGGGTAAAATATATAATA